CCAGTTGCGGAAGAACACTATCAGCCTCGACTTTGAGCCCGAAGTGCCAGCCTCCGATTATATGGACATCAGCGAGGTCAAAATTAAGAAACCTAAGAAGAAGAAGGCCAAAGCTACAAAACAGAGGACTTTCATGGACGACGAAGAGGTTGCTCCGGTTGCGGATTCGACCGATGCGCAAGGATCCTCGGCCATGGATATCGATTCAAAGAGCGGAGTTCCCATCCCTGCTCCCCGCAAGCCCATCAATGAAGATGTCTCTTTTGTGGATGATGATGACCTTCAAGCCTCTCTTGCATTGCAACGGCGCACAGCCTTCAAGAAGCGTAAGAAGATCAGCCCCGAGGAGCTTGCTAAGCAGCTTCGAGAAGAGGAGGCTCAGACCCCAATGGAGATTGAAAATCCCGATAATGAAGGCGAGGAGCCTGGCCTTGTTATCGATGAAACATCAGAGTTTGTATCAAATCTACACAAGCCTACACTCCTTGAGCAGGAAGCGAAACGCGCTACAGCTGCGGCCAAGGAGCCTGAAAGTCCCAGCGCAGAGCCCGAAGGTGAGGGCGTAGAGATTGATATGGACCGTTATGGCGATATCGAAGACGAAGAGGAGCTGGCCGCGCGCATCAAGCGCGATGAAGTATCTGCCGAGCCACAACAACTCACCGGCACAGGTCTTGAGGAGGAATCAACTTTGGACCAAGGTCTTGCTGCTACTCTATCAATGTTGAAATCGCGTGGCCTGGTCCAAGAAACCGACAGCACCAACCGAAACGCACTCATGCGCGATCGCCAGCGTTTCTTGGCCGACAAGCTGAACCGCGAGACCGAAATCGAGCGACGCGCCCGGCAGCAGCGTGAGCGGGACCGCGCCTCCGGCAAGCTTGAGCGCATGTCAGCCCGTGAGCGTGAAGAGCACGCACGCTGGGAGAACAAGCAGCGTGACCAGCAGGAAGCTCGTCATATGGCCGACGTGTTCAACCGCGAGTACAAGCCTGACGTCCAACTGCGGTATGTGGATGAGTTCGGTCGCAACATGAACCAAAAGGAAGCCTTCAAGCAACTCAGTCATCAGTTCCACGGCAAGGGCAGTGGAAAGATGAAGACCGAGAAGCGTCTGAAGAAGATTGATGAAGAAAAGAAGCGCGAGTCTATGAGCACGCTGGACAGCAGCCAGAACACCGGCATGAACACTGCTGTGGGCACTGCTGCGCGCAAGAATCGCCAGGCTGGTGTTCGCTTGGGCTGATGCTTTTGTTCCCTTCTCACTGAGCTAAATACCAATTTTACGATATCCAAAATCTATTCCAAAAGCCCTCTTAAGCTTCGTAGTTGTGCTAAGCCTTGATCAGGCAACGGCTCCTAGTTACCTCGTGTGGGGAGAAGGCGGACGTTACGAATTGAATATTTCAATTTTCAGTATTATGTATTAGACTATGTACCCCCGTATATATTTAGGGGATTGGCATTGTATTTAACCGAGTTGTTCCTGTGGGGTTGTAAGAATCAAGTCAGCTCAGACCGGGGAAAAAGGGAGGATTTCCTTCTCCAACTATGTGAGGGGAAACAGTGTGGAGTTAAGACAGCCTCGATCAGTTCACCGGGGATTTGACTTGCCGAAAACATTTGAAGATGGGCTGATGGATGTTGATGTTATTCATGTTACCATCAATGGATATATGGAATATTTGGCTGGCTCACTCTACGTTCCAGACTGAATTCAAGCTATGAACGATGATACTCGAAATATCAAAATTTACCATTTCCAGTAGCTGTAACTAAATGTAAAAACAGCTGATCCCTGCAATTTAGCCGGAGGATGCAGCCAATCCCATTCGTACATCTCGCCGGTTTTGGTTGTACCTGGTACCTCAACCGAGGCGGACTTGCATACCAATTGGCAGGTACCCGGTACCGCTATCACATGAGTCAGGACGAAAACATCGGGACTACGTCTCCGATCCTTTATATTCTTTCTCTCCTCCCCCGATTTTTCCCTTTCCCCTTCCAATCCCAAATCTAGGAGATTTAGGTCTTGTTCCTTCGATTTTTCTTCTTCTCCTCTGCCATTATGCTTTCCACTCTCAGAGTCGCCAGCCGGTCGGCTGCCTCCCGCGAGGCCAACATGCGCACCGTCGTGACCGGAGCTAGACACGCCTCGGCCTGGGCCAATGTTCCCCAGGGTCCTCCTGTAAGCTTTGATCTTAGCAATCGCCGCAATGGTAGTCTGAGTGGCCAATTCTAACGTAGCTCGGTTAATAGGACGCCATTCTCGGCATCACCGAAGCTTTCAAGGCCGACTCCTTCAAGGAGAAGATCAACCTCGGTGTCGGTGCCTACCGTAAGCTTCGCCCCGAACAATCGCCGTGTTCTGCAATGGATTGGATACAGGATTGCTGACGCGCTATCCCGCTGTTTCAGGTGACGACAAGGGCAAGCCTTACGTCCTGCCCTCCGTCCGTGCCGCTGAGGATAAGGTCGTCGCATCGCGCTTGGACAAGGAGTACGCTGGCATCACCGGTGTCCCCGCTTTCACCACCGCTGCCGCCGAGCTCGCCTACGGCTCCGACTCCTCCGCCATCAAGGACAACCGCCTCGTCATCACCCAGACCATCTCCGGTACCGGTGCCCTGCGCATTGGCGGTGCTTTCCTCAAGCAGTTCTACCCCGGCGCAAAGAAGATCTACCTCCCCAACCCCAGCTGGGCTAACCACAAGGCTGTCTTCTCCGACTCCGGTCTCGAGGTCGCCCAGTACAGCTACTACAACAAGGACACCATTGGCCTCGACTTCGAGGGTCTGATTGCCGATATCAAGGCCGCCCCCGAGGGCAGCATCATCCTGCTCCACGCTTGCGCCCACAACCCCACCGGTGTCGACCCTACCCAGGCCCAGTGGCGCCAGATCAGCGATGTCATGAAGCAGAAGGGCCACTTTGCTTTCTTCGACATGGCCTACCAGGGCTTTGCCAGCGGTAACGCCGACCAGGACGCCTTTGCTCCCCGCCACTTCGTCAAGGAGGGCCACAACATCGCTCTTTGCCAGAGTTTCGCCAAGAACATGGGTCTGTACGGCGAGCGTGTCGGTGCTTTCTCCCTCGTTTGCGAGAACGCCGAGGAGAAGAAGCGTGTCGATTCGCAGATCAAGATCCTCATTCGTCCCTTCTACTCTAACCCTCCCATCCACGGTGCCCGCATCGCGTCCACCATTATGAACGACCCTGCCCTTAACAAGCAGTGGCTCGGTGAGGTCGAGGGCATGGCTAGCCGCATCATCGAGATGCGCTCTCTCCTCCGCACCAACCTCGAGAAGCTCGGCAGCAAGCACGACTGGTCCCACATCACCAGCCAGGTAAGATCCAAATCTCGATTCTCTGGGTATGAACCAAATGACTGACATGATATCCAGATCGGCATGTTCGCCTACACTGGCCTGAAGCCCGAGCAGATGGACGCCCTTGCCAAGGAGGTAAGATTTATATTTGCATACCTCTTCAGACCTGATTCCTAATATTCTTTCTAGCACTCCGTCTACGCTACCAAGGATGGCCGTATCTCCGTGGCTGGTATCACCTCCGCCAATGTCGAGAGACTCGCCGAGTCCATCTTCAAGGTTACTGGTTAAATTTTAAAATCACCTAAAGAGGAAATTTTGAAGGATATACGATAAAACGAATGTTGGGGAGCGAGAGAAACCGGGCCTGGGTTTCTCTTTGAGATCCCGGCCCTTTTGTACTGATATCTAATGTCTCTGTTTCATATTTAGCATGGTTCGGCTCTGTCCGTCTTAACGGGGATTTTGGATTCATCTTCTACTTCTTTCCTTATTCCAGTATCACTATAAAGACCTGTGGTTCGTAGGAGATTTCAATGTCCGGACCCCAATTATCACGCAACTATTGTTGTCTCGTTTTGAGACAGAGACGCTTGAATCTTTTATCTCGAGTTTCTGGCTGGTCGAGGGTTTCCGCTACAGCCTCGAGCATCAGTAGTAATGGCGAGCTCTTCAGCTAATGCATTCGTGTGAAGACATCCATCGGTGCGCGCAGTCATCACCTTGTCACCAAAGAATGGCTTGTTTCGATACTCTCGACTCGGGTGGGAGAAGGATAACAGATGGTAGTTTGGACCGAGCTTCACTGTTCCCGAGGATTAGTTAGTGCTCACTATTGATTTAGACCAGTATACCCCAGACTTACCTGGCACTGCGATGCCAGTGAATATGCTGCTGAAGACATCGGAGAGTTCGTTCCAACGATTCCGAATTCGAGATGGCCCCAGCGAGAGATCTGCGGCTGCCTTCTCGTAGGCACGCAGTAAACGCGTTCGAGGAAGCTGGCATTTTGCGATCTTTTCCTGTGCTGCTGCTGAAGTAGAGCAACGAAGACCCAGTTAATAGAGATGGCAAGCCTATCTTCCGGGCGTAACCGTGATGAGGTTATACTAGGCTTCTGTCGTGTTGACCTTCGAAGCCTGGATGGAGATGAGTAGAACCATTTAGGACTTAGAAGAAGAATTTTTAGCACATGGTTGAGAGAGTCAAGTATGTCTTAGAGGAAGGTTCTGAAATTGAATGGGAGAAAATATGAGTGAAGGCACTCTGGACAGAAGGAACAAGGTGGAGTATCACAGTGCATTCCATCAACTCCAAACATTGGAATTGCAATGGCTCATTAAAAATAAAAAAGAGATCGTTCATCTAAACCTGAAGTCACCATCTATTTAATTTCCGGATCTTTTCAAATGCAAGTATGGTGAGAGTCGCCATGTAAACTTCTCCTGTCGAATAGATAGACAACACGCCTTTACTCAATACAAAACCCAAGACTAGGAATGTGAAGTGTAGTGTTTTAAAGTGGCGGTGGAGGACCAATTTAAAAAAGTTACCGTGTATTAAGAATCTGTTAGTTTCGAGGTAATATGCAACCTGAGAGTAATTTGTCCAATGGCCCCTTCCCTAACACCAATTGCGCCATAATATCCAGATTTTAGAAAGTAAAATGAATTAGTATCCCATCATTCCGCTGACGCCCATATCCGAGGCAGCGCCCGCAGGGCCGGTAGAGGGACAGATGCAGCCTGGTGGCGCACTGGCAGCAGAGTATGGGTACCACTCTGATGGAGAAGGGGTAACAGATCGGCCCATGACACGAGCTAAGATACTGGCAGGTGTACCAGCGGGACCCTGGCTTGCATGGAGAAGGGCGAAGCGGAGGAAGACTTCGGAGATTGTAACGATGATTGAAATGATGATCAGGACAATGATGATCCAGGTTTGGTCTAGAATGGGGTTAGTTGAGAGGCTAGGGAGCGAGGAGCGGGTCAAAACATACGGGAAGTGCGGTTGTCGGCAATCGAGTCGGACAAGATCTCTGCAAGATCAAGGAATACGCGGCATCTCTCATTGAGAACCTGAATACGTGGTTTGATCTCCAAATACTCGCGCACGGCGATGTAGAGCGGGTAAAGGGTCGGTTCGCTCTCCCAGAAGAAGTTGGGGACATCGAGCATATTAGATGCTGGTGGGAAACGTTAGTATGGAATGATGTCTCTGCTCTGCAGCACAGGGCACGATGACCCGTAAAGTGGATTGCGAACTCACAAAGGTTGACCTCAACACGACTCTTAAACAATCGACCCAGGATCCGGAAGACCTCTTCGCGCTTCATACCTAGTTGGCCTGTAACCGCAAGACGTCTGGGAACGTCTTTAGCATCCGCCATCTGCCGGGCCATGACTTCCTCGAAGAAGCACAGTTTAGTGCTCTGTGAAATACCATGGCTAATAGCGAGCTTGATCATGTGGTCGCCACTGCGAAGAGTGATCATATCGTTGTAGACTCGGGGGCGCGATATCTCTGTAGAATACTCGAAGTGGAACTCCTCTGTCTCAAAGTCTTCCTCGTCAAGAGGCATCGTTGCCAGAGGAATAGGGATACCAGTTGCAGATGACGTAGCAAAGGCCAGATCTGCCAGCAGGTCTTTCTCTTGTCGCTCGGTGAAGTTCCAGAAGACAACCACACCGTAGCTGAAAACGAACATCTCAGCAACATTGTATAACGTCCGAGCCGGGGCTTGCGGTGTCGAGGACGAAGGTGCAGGGGCTGGTAGAGGGGAACGGTCCCGAATCAAAGCGTGGCTGTCGTCTGTACTGTGCCTTCGGCGACGAAGTGCAGGTTCAGGCGAAGATTGCCGACTTCCTTGATTGCTGTCTGGTTGCGGGAGTGGCGGGATATGCTGCAACCCATCGACACTTTCGCCGGAGCTGGCCGCATGCTCATGGTCATTGGGGAGGTGGCCACGAACTTCCTCAGTGATGCGATTTAAGAATTCCTCACGATTTGCCTCCCGGGCATCATGACCCTCATGCTGTCGCGGTGACGCTTCATAATGGTGTTCATCCTCTGGACGATTGTGCCCACCAACCGAATGCTCCTCCGTCTCAAGCATGTATTCATCATGATAATCACGAAGTTCATTCCGTTCAATCTCCTCATCCAACAGCGACTTTCCGCCGGGGTATTTCAACACAGGGCTACTCCGCAAACGATACCCCTCATGGCCCGGCAAAAGAGGGAGATGATATGCCGTATAGAGACAATCATCATAAAGCTTCGTCCGCCCACCATGTTGCTCCTTAACAAAGGCAGCAAGCGAGCCCATCTTATACGCCTGAGCTGTACAATACGCCGTAACACGCGCAAGCTTCTCCGTCCGCCGCGCCTTCGGCAACCGCTCAGCATAACTCTTCGCACGCTCAGGCGCAACACGGCGTTTCTTCGAGACTTCTTCCTCAGCCAGCATAGGGGCGAGATCATTATCGACGCCAAAATCACCTCCAAGTCTCTTCGACATAAGCAATTGGTGTCTGATTCTTTCTGGGTCGACATTTTTCTCCTTGGCCAGACGCGCGACAAGCACCTCGTCCACGAGGTCCGCACCATCGAATTCATCTTCGTCTTCTTCGGGTGAACCCTCCTCCAGCTCGCCGGTGTCAGGCAGAAGAACCAGCTTCTCACTGACTTTCGTCGTTCGAGGCGGGAGTCGCGGTTGCGCGGCGAGTCGGCCAATTGTACTGCCGGATCCTGCCACTGCGCTTGAACTGCTGCTGCCTGTGCTGGCTATTAAGCCTCCAGCTGCGGAGGCAAGACGGCGTGACCGTGAGATTGGTGGTGGGCCGCGCTGCTGCATTGAAGGGACGTCGGAGGCGTATTGGAGGACGTTGTCGACGGTGATAAATCGGGTTGCGGGCGAGCGGCGTCGTCGGGGTGTTTGGGGCTGTTGCTGGTCTCGGGAGTCTGTGACCTGCGTTGAAGATATGTTTTAGTTGGTCTGCTTCGTACGGTGATTTGATAGACAATCCCACCAAGACAGTTGGGCTGCGCTGGTTAGTCCCCCGTCCTCGGGCCGGGGGAGTCATTGTCAAACGAGCCTAGAATCGGCGCTTGAGTATCCCTTTTGACTTTTATCTGCTGGCACTTCACAGCATAGAAGAAATAACTGGCCGTGGGTGTAACAATCCCTATGTATGATGCTCCGAAGCCAGCAAGTTCGAATGGCCTCGAGGCTAAGCCTAACTAGGAATAGTTCATTGAGCGACCAAATGACGTCTACTGTTACAGTCACGTGTATGTAGATTCGTCAATCCCGTGACATCGCCACGTGTTACACCGCCCTATGAGACAGGGCCCGCCATACCTCATTGGGACTAGCAGATGGCAGATGGCGTTTTAGACGATCTGGGGTAAAAGTGAAGATCGACCGGAAACCAGTTCCATTGCTTACTGACTACAAGATGAAATGAGACTGAGTTAATGATATTTCGTTGACAAGTGAGATTTCATTGGTTTCAGAAGCCAACATGATTCTCGACTATTTCTTTGTGTTGATTGGTGGCCTGACTATCCGAAAGCAAGTGCTACTCTAGAAACAAAGAAAATCGGGTCATAAGAATATGAATTGCTATGGTGATGAATAGTATGACTGATGAACATACAAACGCGGGCTGTTGGTTGGTCACCATGCAGATTTGATAAAAGAGGACGACGGAATTAAATTACGAATGAAGGCCGTCACGAAGCTGCCGATCTTCCTCCCAGATTTCCTTCTTCATGCGTTGTAGATGAACGTGCTGCTTTTGCAGCTTGTCAAGGTCCACCTGAGGCGGGTTGGGGAGTGCTGCAAGGGAGTCATGCAAGTTGCGGTACTTGGTGTAAAAGTTCTTGAATTTCTGAGACTTCTCCCGCAGCTGCTGTCTCAGAATCTCGTAGCTCATTGGTGGAGATGCACTGCCGGTGCTGCCACCGCTAGAGGAGCTGACCGCTCGGCGCCGCTTGGCTTCTAAGTTTCCAGTAGGACGTCCTGCCTGGGGCACGGACGATTGATCGGACTCGGCCTTGCGCTTCAATGGGTTGGTGGTAGCGGGGCTAGCCTTCGTGATACCATTGGGCTGGGGCGTAGCTTTAGTAGCTTTGGCAGAAGCAGGGGCTGTACGGCCCACCTTGCTGGGTTTGGCCAGCTGGGAGAGGAGAGGAGAAGACGAGGATGAACCAGATGATTGGTTCTGGCTGTCAGCTCGGCTGCGGTTGTTACTGGTAGCATCGGAAACATTGGAAGGGGGAGAGGAGCCGAGTGGAGACGGCTTTTGCGGTGAAGTAGAGGGTCGAGAGGGAGGACGCTTGGAAGATGTAGCCTTGGTGACTGGTTTGGATGGTTCAAGCTTAGGCTTCGATGCCTCGGGTTTAGTCTTGGGAGCAGCAGCAGGAGCAGTTTCGGCGGTCCGAGGCTTGGCCGGTGCCTTGATTTTCGGTGCTGGGGCCTTCGAATTGGATGGAGTCCGCTTGTGTTCCTTCGGTTGCGGCTTGGCTGCAGGCGCGGGAGTGGGAGCGGCAGGGGGGATAACAGGCATGTCGGTATCGTCATCTTCGTCCGAACTGTGGACGAATTCCGCGGACTTGATCTTGCTGTCCACTTTGACTGGGGCCTTCCCACCAGTCTTCTTCGTAACCCGTCCGGTGAGAGTGGTGTTGGTATTCTTGGTTTTGGTGGGTCGCTTGGCCGGGTCCTTGTCGCGAGCCTTCTGCGCGGCCGAAGTAGTCTTGGTAGCGGACGCGGAACCCTTTGTGGCGCGGTCGGTCTCATTGTCCTTGCCCGAGTCCTCTCCGTTGGATTTGGCGAGTGGGGCGGCAGGTTTCTGGGGCGGGCCAGTGCGAAGGTTCAAACGCGACAGACACTTTCCCTTGCCTCGTTCAGCCTTGGGAAGAAGTGTTTGCCAAAGTCTGTCGGATCGAGAGATGCGCATGCGATCAAAGGCAGAAATAGAATTCTCGATGGCTTCCTTTCGGTCCTCCTCTGTGTAATTGAAGCCAAACAAATCAAGATCCTTGTAGACTTTGTCCTTGAGATCATATTTCTCGGGGTTGATTCGGTTCAAGACACCGAATTTCTCGCCGAGGGCGGTGCAGTCTTCGATGGTGGAGCGAGTTTGGCGGGCAAGAAACTTGGCCGATACGGCGCGGACGGCGAGCAGGTGGATGAAGGGAACCTTGAGGGCTTCAAGTCTCGCACGATCTTTGTTCTCCATCATTGGAGCAGATGTTGGAGTCATTGTGAGAGAGGGAGACTTGGGAGCACCCAAGATCGGACTTGCAGTGAGAGAACGATTGGCAGCAGTTTTGAGAAAGCGATCTTTCTCAAGTTCGACTTTGGTGGTGGGACCTTTGTAGCCTGACTTGCTGCCTCGTAGAGCCTTCAGCTCATCTGGGTGTGAGATTATGTGAGTCTTCTTCGACTCCTTCCCTCTCTCATGAGCATTTAACTTTTCCTCTAATTCTGCCAGCGCCTGATCGGTGGCCGCGGTAGCATTTTTAGCCTTTTCAACCTCGAGACTATGACTTAAAACCCCTGTGAAATACAGTGACTCTTTATCGGATGAGCTATGGTAGATCTCAGATCGGTGTGTCTCGGGATACGCGTGGAACGTTTGAGTCTTTCCCCCATAGTGAAGTGAAGGGTGTTTTCCCAGCCGGACTCGAGCCGGTTGATCCTTCCGTAGGCTCTGAATCAGATCATCGAGGGTGCTCTGCACCAAATTCAACCGCATGATCTGATTGGGCTTGACAGAAAGATCCCCGGACTGATCTCCGAGGTAGAGAGACAGCCCGGTCTGGGGAATATTGAGTCCGGTCGACATTGTGGGAGTTGAGAAGAGGTCAAGGTCGGGAGGAAGAGAGGATTCGAGGATGTGAGCAGGGTCGGATGGCAGCGTGAGGGCTGCAGGTCAGGCGGCCAACTGCACGAGGGAGTGAGGTAAAACCATACGCCATAAGATCATTAGAAATATGGGATGTAGAGAAAGCAATGCAGAATGTAAGATGCAAATGGTATAGACAGAGAAGAAAGAAGAAAGAGGAGAAAGGCAGGAAGAGGTGAGCAAGGCGAAGCGTCGGAGAGTGGAGTGGGGAGAGCTGACGGCGATGGTAAAATTACAGGGGATTCCCGATGGGGTTATTCCCTTTTTTTTATTTATTATTAATTATAGTAATTTCAATGTATTGCTCCTATAATGTACATAGGTACATAGGTACTTCCAATGTCCTTATAATACGATTATAATATGATATTTAGGAGATAATTGAATAGAACTTCCATATCGTAAATGATCGATTTTCTCCTATGTTTCTAACGTTTCAACATATACTTTCTCTCCGATGTCGTTCCTGAAGTTGACTTTGATTACATCAGTATCGTCCTCGTATCGGAAAGTCATTCTGCCTTTGTTCTATCAAGTCCTATTTGTCAAGCTACTTGTTCCTTTCAAGTCACTTTTCTTTTCCCTTTCTTTTTCCTTTTTTCACTTTCCCCGAAAGATAATTGTAATGCCGTGCACCCCCAAACTATGTACAATATACAGTACATACGCATATAGTGGACTTAGAACATAAGCGCAGCCGACAACCGCGAATCTAGGCTCGGATACAAATACAATACAAATCCATAAATACCGTGAGGAGAAAAAGTGATTCTCCATCAGAAACGGGGCTTCCCGAGTCCAGTCCTGTCCAGTCTTGTTTACCGAAGCGGGTGCGGTCGGGTTTTATTTAACTTTGACATATATTAATGTATTGGAAGGGAAATAGGGAACTCTCAACTCTGTACGGGACTATCCATGGATGTCCTTTCTAATAAGGCTTGGGTTGATTAAAAAGAACCACCTGAAACGCAAAAAAAAGAACCCTGGGAGATACATTCCATTCTCTCTCCAATGACAACCCGGGTACTCACTATTCTACAGAGATGAGGAATGCCACAGCTTTTGCCCCTCGTTCATATGCACCTAGGCACGGATATCCCGAAAGGTCCCTCAGGTGTGTTACCGTTCAATCTTTCGCCCTACATCGGACTAGTGGACTTGCTACGGACTCTTACTCCTTTCGATAGGGAAACGGGGCCAATTCCTCGTACCACATGTTATCGGGCTCCTATTTTGATTAGCTTTTGTTCCTTTCCAAGGAATAGATGGCCTGCAACGTAGTTCTGTTGCAAAAATAGAACTTCAAATGTTCCATGACATCTCCGTATAGGATAAATTCCACCTGGCACAGTTCCTCTTGCTCATTGGATCTGCGGTTTCACAGCTGCATGGAAGGCCCATTATGCATCCCAATGGAGCAATGGAGAGCAAGCCATTAGACTCCGGGGTGTATATTGTATTACACCCTTTTTTTATTTTTTTATTTACTCTTTCTGTTCCTTTGCAGTTTCGCCTCCCATACAAAGTAGTTATTGGGTGCTAGACCTGTCAATTCAAGTCGATCCCCACATTGAATACACATACTGTGGCAAACCTGAACGAGATCAAGTGGCAGAGAGTCCATAAGCAGTGTAAGCAGTGTAATGACCTGCATGGTCTACTCAACCTGGTAATTCCTCATCAGCCGGAGAGGGGAATCCCGTCCCTTGCGCCATTCAGCTTATTCTCCAGCTGTCTAGGCTGAGACAAGGGGACATAGTAACCCATTGTCTGCCTTGCTCTCCGATCTGCATAGATCCGTGCAGAACTGTCGGCTCCGAAAATCCCCTTCGTCATCGTTTTCTACCTCGTATTCAATGACTCGATTTGTCGTTCGAAGTTGATAATTAAGTACTCCATGCATGTATTTAGAATAAATCCACAAATCTACAAATCTCTAATATCCAAATCATACCCAAAATTAGCCCAAAATGCCATCTCAAAACGACATCGCCAAACACTTCCGCGCCCTCCACCAACCCGGCAACCCCCTAATCCTAACAAACGTCTACGACGCCGCAACAGCCTCTATAATCGCCGCACTACCAACAGCACCCGCCATCGCAACAGCCTCCTACGCGATCGCCGCAACGATCGGCGTCGACGATAACGCGCTGACAAAAACCCAAAACCTGACCGCGATAGCCGCAATCGCCGCCTCCGTGCGCGCCACGAACCCTACCAAACCATTGACCGTCGATGTGCAAGATGGACACGGTGATGCATCCGAGCTAGCAGATACCATTAGGCAGGTCATCGCGCTAGGGGCTGTGGGGTGTAATCTCGAAGATATGGACGCAACTGGCGTGCTGCGGTCGGTGGATGAGGCTGTGGCGCGGGTTGGGGTCGCTGTTCAAGCGGCGAGGGAGGCCGGGGTGCCTGATTTCGTGGTTAATGCTAGGACAGATGTGTTGCTGACGGAGAATGGGACTGTTGAGGAGGCTATTGAGCGTGGGAGAGCGTTTCTACAGGCTGGTGCTACTACTGTCTTTGTTTGGGGTGGGCCTAGTGGAAGGGGTGTTTCGAGCCTGGAAGTGAGAAGATTGGTTGATGCCCTAGGTGGCATGGTTAATGTGAAGATGACTTTGAGAGAGGGCTTTCTGGGAGTGAAGGAGATTCGGGAGTTGGGCGTTGCGAGGATTAGTGTCGGGCCGGAGTTGTGGCGGGCTGCTATGAAGGCATTTACTGAGAGGGCTGAGCAAGTGTTGGCTTTGTGAGTACATACGTGATTATGCTTGTCTAGGCAGATCTATAGATATATTATGTGTGATTCGTAGGTTAGGCATTCAGCCCGACAAGGTCTTGCAGCCCAAAATAACTGTCTGGTCAAATTCAATATAAAACCATTCATTGATTCCGAGTGCACTTGCTGTAGGCATTCTGATATATCACGATCCTGCATCGTCAAGTCCGGCTACAAATCCCATTTACACACGTATTTCCATAACAGCAGTGTTCATCGACAATGCAAGGTCCATTATCCTCGCTACAAAGTGGCCAATCATCATCCGTTGATCGACATTTGTTCGCAGCACAGTAGCCCGAGCAGCATCGGCTGTTCGGGTCGCCGAACTCACAGGATGCTAGCATTAGTTAGAGTGAGGTACTTTCAATGTTATGTCTAGGTGTGGTCTGTCGTTCTTACAGTAGACTCCCGCGCAGGTGGGTGTTGGGACACAGGTTGTGATAGTCGTTGTCGAGGGCGAGGTAAACGTTGCTGTTGTGCATGTTTTGGTGAGGACACAGGCCATGGCACTGCCGCATCCTCCTGCAGGACAAGCTGCTGCTTCTGTTTTGGAGGAAGACGTGTTTGATAAGTCTGGGTTTGATGTAGGAGTTGGTTGAAATACTTACGACTCAGGGCGAGATGAGCGAGGATAAGAGCAAGAGCCTTATAGAGAAGCATCTTCCTGATCTCGATACTTAGCTGTTAGCTATCCGTAAAAAGTGTGATGGTTGATTTAAAAGATTTGGAACAAAGCACTTCTATCCATGTCTATATATACACCGCACACCAAGACATGCAAACGCCGAAAGCATCGACTTTCAAACAACCCTTGGAACACACGACCAGATGACCTGATACGAAGCCATCTACACCGTTTGATAGTGATGTTTCAAGCTCGGGCTTAGACCATTCGCCGCTACCCCAGACTTTCTATCTCTACCGCGGTCGATGTTCTCCCAACATCATATGAATACGAGGGTCAACACGAGCGTTTGAATAAACTCGAATTCCATTGGCTTTTATGTGAGACATCATTCACCTTTCAAAACTATGCTTTATTGGCTTCTGTTAGTGTGTATAGCAACGTGATCAACTACGATGTTGCTGGATAAAATTGCCGACTGGTAGAATCATTGCTTCGAATTGATCATTCTATTTCCTTAAGATTTGGCATCCCCTGATCATAAAATATTAGCCCGGAGACTGTATACCTTTTGTATAGGAATGACATACAAAAGATACCTAAATAATGTATTGGGTGTTTTACCCCCTCCAGGGCTGCGGGCGCCGGGGTTTGGCCGAGTTGGGCTCTGCGAAACAAGTGCCAAATCAGCCCTCGTCCCTCATACCACCCCCACTGCCATCAATCGGGAGCAAAGTTTTCTTCGTTCGGACCTCATGGCTCCCTCTAAAACAGAGTGAGTGGCCTCCAACATAGGCATCTATGTACGACATTTAGTGGAGGCATTCTCAGATGTAAAGATACAAGCTAACAAAGACCACCAGCTTCCCGGCAGTCCGCGCCTGTATCTTTGACATGGACGGTCTCCTCATCAATTCCGAAGACATAATTGGTCTATCTACGAATCAATTGTTGCAAAAGTACGGAAGGCCTCCTTTGACTAGGTCGATTCAAGCCCAGCTCATGGGTGTCGCGGACTCGACCAATGGCGATGTATTCCACAATTGGGCCAAGCTGCCCATCTCTCGCGAGCAATTCGCCCGCGAATCAAGCGAAGGCATGCGACTCCTCTTTCCAGATTGCAGGCCCCTGCTTGGGGCGGAGAAGATTCTGTCAAATCTGAGCTGTGCACGGAGTGCTTCGTCTGGGGACATGATCCAGCTAGCTTTGGCTTCTAGCACCAAGACCCGTAGCTATGAGTTGAAAACTTCGGGGCCAGATTCGAAACGACTGCTAAGCTTCTTCCGGTCGGACAGAAAGGTCCTGGGTGATGATCCACGAGTGAAAAAAGGTCGAGGGAAGCCAGCGCCCGACATTTATTTGCTCGCGTTGCAGTCGTTGAACTCAGGGATAGAGTCTGGGGAAACCCCCATCCTACCTAGCGAATGTCTGGTCTTCGAAGATAGCATCGCTGGCGTAGAGGCTGGAAGACGCGCTGGAATGAGAGTTGTTTGGGTTCCGCATCCAGATGTGGCGGTCGAGTATCAGCCGATGCACAAGGATATCCTGGCTGGGAGGTCGGGAAGATTCAAGGTCGGAGATGACTGGCAGCTAGGAGAGATTGATGACGGCTGGGCTGAAAGCATACCAAGTCTGGAAGACTTTGATTACCAGAAGTACGGTCTCGTTGTGGCATCTCAAATATAATAATGGAGCAGTTCCAACTCAATTTGGTACTTATGGAATGTCAGGGATCTGCTCCCCGTATAAAAGAAGAAGAAAAAGATGGTTCATCAACGGGCCCAAAAAGCAACGATGTCGTCGAAGTCTTTCGTAGTCAAGCCCTTCAAATCTCGATCCTCCTTGGTGATCTCCTTCCTCAAGCGACAAGCAACTCTAAAGGCAATAGAAGCTTTCTGCATCTTGCCCATCGCCGCCAACAAGTTTCCCTTGAGGAAAGTAGTGCAAGCGATCTCATTCTTATGCGCATTCCGATCAACCGACCAAATTTCTAGCGCGTCGTTGATCCTAACACTAAGAGAAGTTAGAAAAGTGTTCGGCGACTTAGTTAGATGAGAGCACTTACATCGCCTCCTCATTGTTGCCAGAGCGTATTAGGTGCTCGGCAATCTTATGGGTGATATTTGCAGTGTAGAAGTCCCTCTCACCCACCGTCTCGCGCATGTGGTGCCACGCTCTGCGGTGATATTGGAAGCTCTCGTCCCACTGGTTTTGCGCAGCACGGAGGTTACCAAGTGCATATAGAATAAGTCCGGTCCGGACATCTTCCCTATCATTCTTACCCAAGGCCTTCTCTCTACCCGCCAGGCTATCCAGAAGAAGTGTGTTGCACTCTTCCAGCTTGCCCTGCAAAAGCAGGGCCCAGCTCAGATTGGCCTCGCCTGACCGCGGAATGTAGTTACCGAGAGCTTCGCGTATCCGCAGTGCCTCCTTGAGATCGGCCTCCCCCTCGTCATACCGTGTATCCTGGATTCGTGAAATCCCTCGCTCTGCGTAGGCGAGGTATAACCTGTCGTCCGCAGTTCCCAGCTCTTTGCAGATCTTGGAAACGAGATCGAAAGAACGCTCCTTGTGGATGCGGCTTGTATCGAAATTACTTGTGTCCATGGCTATAGATCCTAGGCAGAAGTGGATGTCTGCAAGCAAGGAATCCCGATCTGGATATGTAGAAGACTCGCAGATATTGCGAGCAGTTTCGAAGAAGCCATCAAATTGCTTTGTTCGTCCACGCTCTTTTTGGTACCTGCTACTGTTAGACTATATAGCAAGGGAAATGTATGCCTGAAAATTGTATACTCACCAGGCTGCATCTATCAGTAGCTTTGCAAAAAGCAATTTGGTAGCCTCTGAGGAGTCTGACATAACTGACCAGAGCTGATGCATCCTCAGAATATGGGGATAGATCGCTGCGCAAGCAGGCCATCTTCCAACATATAACCTGTTGCCAGAGGATTTGGGCTGCGGTAGCTCTGGCTCCTTTGATGGCTTGGGCATAGCCGATGGCCAGTCTGCCCACAGGATCCGCACGACCTGGTCAAACAAGTACCGTTTCCTCCCAGAATCCATTGTTGCCAGGATCACATCTTGTACGATGCGGTGGACAGATAACTGTTGTTTCTGATTATCTTTGCGGACTAGCGACGACTGCAAGAGATCGTTTCGAGCCTCAATATACTTACTCTCCTTGAATGATGCACCATCCGAAAACAGCTCCACCGACGCTTCCAACAAATCTTCTCCAATACCATCTGGATCAAGAAACGAAATCAATTCCAAAAGCCGTTGGGGTTGAGGCTTGAGTTTTCCAAATGCCCACACAGTGGAAAGGGAATGACCATATGTGCCCGAATTTGTGTTGAACTTTGTCTCATAGAAACTGGCACTTTCTTCGTGATCCGCGTACAGATCGAGAAACCCTGACAGGGTGAGGTCCTGTCCACGGATGATACCTGCTATCTGGGAGATGGCCAAAGGAATGCCACCAAGTGCATCGGAAATTTGTCGCGCTGTATCAACCTCTAGCTCGCTGGAAGTAGTAATGAGATGGTTGAAGAGGGATAGGCTATCTTTCTGTGAAAGTGGACCTAAATCCAGACCTGAAGGTTTGCTTGTGAACAAGCCCTTACTCGATGGGTCGCGGCTGGTGATAAGAATCGATCCATTCCCTTGGGGCCAGTAGTCCGTCAAGGTCATTGGATCATCCGCGTCGTCGAATATAAGCAGCCAGGTTGCTTCTGGGCTAGCTTCGCCCGGCTGAACAGAACCATCCGACTCTGATATATGCTTTTGAGGATTGGCAAGCCATCCTTTTACAATTTCCCTACTGACAACCTGACTCTTGCACTCAGATGAATCTTCGAGTCCTAGTGCCAACGAAATCTGCTGGTAATGATTGTCAAGTTTCGCGATCTCATCCGCCACGACCCAGAATACCGCATCAAAGGAATCCTTGTGACGTCGGACAAACTCGCGGGCTATTTCCGTCTTTCCAATGCCCCCCAGTCCACAAAGTGCAAATTGCTTTAGAGCGCCGCTCGATGCTGTCACTGTGTTCTTCGAGGGCAAGAGTTCGGTCGCGAGACGTTCCAAGATATCTTGGCGGCCGCAGAAATCTTTATTTGCTGAATGCGTATTGAGAACGAAGCATGGTAGGTGGACGGGCTTCGCAATATCAGATTTTGGTGTGGAAGATACCAACTCAACCCCCGAAAGAGATATTCCTTCTGTTGCTTTATTCGATGGCCCGGTAAGTGCGCATTGCTCAACTGATCGATGTCAGTTGTGTTAGCGTATGAATATTATGCTTACCTTCTTGTGCTAATTCACTCGTGGGTGAGTTACTCATTGTTGCGTATTGATATTGCTCGAGTCTAAGTGCAACGAGATTCACAGCGTCATGCAAAGTCTCATGAATGAACTTGGTGAGCTCGGGTAGACCTTCGTCGCCAAGGTTCTTTGTAAAAAGACATGTTTCTTTGTGGTCGAGATTTAGGCCAATCGCCGTTTCCATCTGGGTATGAATAGAGCAAGATTCGCGCGCGACTAACTAGAGTCCAAGTTTCAAAGGCACAAGACTGACTTGTTGGTATTTCGGCCTGGATCTGGTTATCGATTCTCTCAGTTCATAGACGGACAGTATGGGTGTACGAGAAGAGATTCTCTCAAATCTATCGGCGAGGTCGAGCAAAATAGCGCCTTCTTGCTCTTTAGTGACGTTTTTGGTTTGCATTTTCCTACTTGTCATTGCTTCAAAGATATCTTGAAACCGTGTAGCGCTCGTGATATTATCGCCATAACGATGCGGAGTGCTTAGGAAGATAACGCCAGCTACAGCATCGAAGACTGATCCGTACCGATAAAACTGTTTGTTAGCAACGCATAATGCCTGTTTGACTATAATGCCACCTAAGCTGTGGCTGACTATCAGAATTGGCTTGGTGGCCTAGAAAAGGTACAGTAACAGGGGAGGTCTTTGACTCGACAGGAATGAATATGGGCTACTTCACCTACCATGTCTGGGTCTGATCGTGACCGTATATCTTTTAAGCGTTGGATAAGGTCGTAGCCCAGCATCAAGATTGACTGCCATGAGGTCTTAGCGCCCAGAGTCTGCGAAGCATATTCGTACGCGAGGATGCGCGTGCCAGCACCGGAGCCGGGGAGGGTGGCGAGCCATTCTTCGTTAGCAAAGGGCCACTTTCCCGGTGAGATGGTTCCGATTCCGGGGACAAGGACGATGCTATATTTTAGGGTAAGGGAGGTACTAGTCTGAGCCTGGATGTTTCTCGTACTTGACACCATCCTGAGAAGTATCAACTGGATCCCGTAGAAGCTTTATAGTTGCAAAACTCGTTGAGGCTATGGCTGAGACCAAGTAAAGAAAGGATGAGGCGTTCTAAGAGGAGAGGGCGAGACTGAATTCGAGTAGCTGAATGTAGACAAATGGTGTGTGGCTTATCCTTCTTTTCGACTTCCGTAAAAGGGCTTAAGGATGCGGGGTACATACATGTGTGTGTATACGTACATGTATGTACATATGTGCTGATGCAGATAGTCTGCGATGGATGCACATATTCTTTCTCTTAGCATTATATAGGAAGATACTAGCTTATGTATTATTCGATCCGAGAAGAAACGCGAGTTCAATGTCTATTATTATTGTTCTATCATATGAAAATACAAAAGCTAGCGCACGACGACCTCATTTGAAAGATGGTATTCGTCAAGGAAAAGAATCAAAGGACGCCGTAGGACAGTCAAGAGAGTAATCAAAAACAGCAATACCATAATTAGATGTATGAAACAATGAGAAGAGAAAACAAAATGGACAAGCACGCATAACTAAATCCCAACCAGACACCGGCATCAGGAGTCTCCCTAAAACAAACCCAGACCCTTTCCCGAACCCATCCATACCCAAGATCCTAGTCCAGCCCTCTATCTATTCCATGGATGCAGTTCCTCATCTGATCGTGTCTCGGTAATGTCATCCGCAAGCATTTAACAAAAGAAAATGGGGGGTGTTGCAAGGGCGAGATGACATCTTGAAACAAAACAATAAATCGCAGATTTGGAAACACGATCAGACCGTCCGACTCCTTCCAGTGCGCTGGTTTCCCATCAAATATAAGTACAAACGGATAAGGAAATGCATGAAAAACAAAAGGAAATAAGAAATCAATCGAGAGGCACAGACGTATTCTCTCGTGGGAATCAACCGGCTTATGCAATGAGGTTATTAAACAAAGGAAATAATGGAAAATTCAAGCTGTTGCGAGACACTTGCATGGGTTGTGAATCGAATCAGACAGCAGTGGACCATGAGTGGTCACCTCGGGGCTTCATTTCGTAGTTCTCCGGCTCGGTGCTGGTAGGCCGACGAATAGTAGAGTTGGGGAAGTACATGTGCGGCGGCATCGATGTCGGGTACGCAGGACCAGTGGGCTCAGGGTAAGTGAAGTCGTTGGCCGATCCGGGCGATGGCATGCTACCATGAGACGGCGAGGCCCACCCAAGACTAGTCATGTGTGGACTGCCGTTCACACTATTGGGACGGTGATCACTGTTGGCCGGGGGCTCAAGAGGTTGAGGCGGAGCGTAGGGATGCGAGGTCATGGATGGCCGGTTGTGGGGCGCACTGCCGTAGCTGGACAGCGAAGGAGAGGTCGCAGTCGGGGAAGCCCGGGGGCTGCCCTGGGGGAAGTCCCCACGCACATGAGGCGGGATAGGACCGGTGCCCATGTAGTAGTCGCCAGCTGAGCGGTGCATGTTCAGTGGTGGGAGCTCACCACCAGGTGACATGGTTGGGTGCTGCGCGGGTGACGGTGTAGAATGGATGGAAGCGTGCTCGGAGAACATTCCTTCACTAGGACGTCCACGATCCTTATTTTGCCGCAACTGGGCCTCGGTTTCAGCAGCGGCTTCTTCGATGGTCCCAGTGTGGTGGTTTTGGTGGCGTGTCAGCGTCGTACGACGCGTGAAGGTCTTCTGACAGTTGGCGTATGGGCATTTATAGGGTCGCTTGCCGGAGTGAATGCGGCGATGTCTGGCCAGCGAAGACGAGTCGCTGAAGGGCTGAATAACTGTTAGATCTAGCCAAAAAAATAGAGGAAATATACGCACCTTGCCACATCTCTCGCACATATGGGGCTTCTCTCCAGTGTGCACACGGGAGTGTACTGTCAAAGCCGAGCGTTGAATGAACTGCTTTCCACACCCTGGCCACTCACAAGCGTGGGGTCTAACTCCGGTGTGAATACGCTCTAATACATTGTCAGTGGCTGCATCTCGGAGATATCTGGAGTATACATACCATGTCGAGCAAGGTCACTGCGCCGTGCGAAGCCCTTGTTGCAAGTCGAGCAGTGGAAAGTCTTTGGTGGTGGTTCAATTCCTGCTCTTCCCTGCGGGATAGGTTCTTGCTGCATCTGGGGATCGCCAGCGTATCCCGCAGGGGCATAGGCCATGTTTCGAGGGGTTGAACCCGTGGGTTGTCCATAATAGAAGGGATCGGCGAGTCCAGCATCCATTTGCATGGGCGGAGGACCGTGAGGAGGGTATGCGTTGACAGGGTTGTCCGAGCCACCTGATTCGCTCTTCATGGTTGGAGAAGCTCCGGTGTGTAACTGTGCACTCTGTTGAAAGTACTGTTGCTGTAACTGCGCTTCGGCGGCGGCGGCGGCTGCAGCGGAGTTTTTCCTGTTCAGGATGGTCGTGAAGTCCATGACCTAACCCAGCAATAGCCAAGTGGCCGCGGTCAAGGACTGCGTTCGAAGGCGTCCTTCGGCAGACCTTCCGTGACCAGTATTCCGATGAGGTCCGATAGCTTATTGGGTTTGAAGTCCTTTACGCGTAAGGACTGATTGGTAGGAAGGATGGAGGAGGTTGGGTGGGAGGTTCGGGTCACAACTAGCAAGCTCTGCAAATCACGATATAGTCAGAACCAATTTTCGGTACAACGGATCGAGCTCGGTTGGCAAAAACTCCGCAGGTACGCAGCTAGGAGAATCTCAGACCAGAAACTCACCCTGCGTGAACCTGTATTACACCGTTCCGTCCTGGACAGTCCCTCGGCGAAGAATGAGACGGGGTAAATTCTCCACTTTTCCGCAGTGGAATGCAAGGTTGCGTAAGAGGTGTCGAACAATCGGCTATCTGCCAAAAAGCCAGGCTCGCCTCAGAGAATAATGTTGTGGTCGGGTAATGGCGGAACGCGTGATCGTTACCGGTGAAGGTGGAGATAGGTCTACTATCCCTGTTAAGGTTCCTATGCGGGAAAAAAGGTCGATGGTCAGCATGGAACGAAGATCAAGACAATGGTTGCGATTCCGAATTATTTCCACCACAGTGCTGTAAGTTGGCGATCTTCTCGCCTTTGCGCCGCGGTCCTCAGTAGGAGACCAGTCGCAACGCTGAGTTTCCAGGGAAACAAGAAAGACGAGACCAGCACATATGGGGGAAATTGTCCGTGTTCGCGAAACCCAAGATAACAGCGCAGCCAGAGAGGGTTGGGCAGCCAAGGCGAATGGGCGAAATGCGTCATCACTGACAAATCGCGGTGAACGAAAGGAGAGCGAAAACCCACCTTTCGAAGGAACGAGGTTTCGAGATATTAAAAGAGTCGAGGCCGAAATGAAGAGGTTCGAGGGAATTTGCAGGAATTCGCGCAGACCAGTTAAGTGGGGTTAGGGGAGTAGAGTAACAAAGAGAACGAGAAGATTGAAGATGAAAAGAAAGGGAAGCGAAGGGTTAAAAAGTAGAAGATGAGAAAGGGGGGAAGAGGAGAAATAGGAATATTATGATTATTACATATGATTTAGGTGTGGTAGGTGCCACTGTCTGCATCTTTGTACATTTTATTTACTTCTTTTTGGTTTTGGTTTTGGTGCTGGTTATTTATTCAGTATTTGTATTATTATCATTTCAAATATTACCTACACAAATTGTACGCTTGATACTATATTTCTCGTCCATATACAATTATATCCCAAGGTTATACCCCAATTACATCCTAAACTTAACTCCCTTTCTAGAAGGCTAGTTCTCCTAGGACCCAGCGAAGCCCGCTAGAAGGAAACATGGCGAAGGATCCACAACGTGCCCTTCTCCCCGAAAATGGATACGAAGGCCGATCCGAGAATTTCCTTATTGTCCTCGATATACGGAGTCTCCTGAAATTTCTCTCTGAATATACGTAGTGTGACGTTTATTCCCAAGACCACCAAATTAAGGATAGGATCGGACTAATAGGGACCTAGATATGTAGGTAATGACCTTAATAAAGTCTCATACAGTATGAAAGGGGGCCTGAACTACAACATACGGCCCCTGAAGCTAAAAACCAAATACATGCATTTCCATCTGCCGGATTTTGCGATAAAAAAAACACAAAGAAAAATTAGAAGAAAAAAAGAAATAAAAAAAAGCCGAAAAGAAAAAGAAACCGGAGACCTCGGTGATCAACAATGACATGCAGGTTTCTCATGGTGCGACATATTGAGTGATATACTTATTTTTATACGATTTCAAGGAGATTACCTCGATAGTCTATGCCGACTATTGTTAGACGCAAAATCGAGATTTACCCTTCTAGAAGGTTTCCGCTATCACGATGGTAACCTTTCCTGTACTCCGTACCTCACGCAGCATATATGGGTTACACTGTCGGTATGACGAACTCACTTCGACTTTCTATTCTCATTCTGTTTCCCCTCTGCTTTCCTTAAGTACCTGGTCTCTGACGATGCAGTGGAGCTAATCCAGTCTGCATCGGTAATTACACAACCCATCTCATTCGCCCCTTTTCCCTTCTGGGAGCACTAGAAGGCACCGGCTAGCTTCAGCCTCTGAGAACCCACTCCACTGCCACAAAAGACGGCACGGATGGCTCTGCCAAGCCTTCCCCTTACCTTCCAGAAGGCCGCCAGAAGGATTTTGGAACATCCGTAGAAGCCGTAGAAGGAAAAGAAAAAAAATGCGCGGCTCCCATTCTGCGCACGGTTCGGAGCCTTACCAGGAGATCCTCCCTGACTACTCCGTACCTAGGCATGCACTATACCCTTCATGACGAGGGATTAATGTAGAAAATAAATAAAAATAAACAGCGACATGTATCTGCCTGGAGGCAAAATGAAATAAAACATTAAAAAGGGGGGTTGGGCACCAGGATGACTGGTCCAGTCATATCCTGCCCAGGTGACTTTCCAAGGCTATTCCTCTTCATTGGCGTGATCGTCTATCCTCTTACGCTCTCTCCCACACACACACCTACCGTTCTCAGCCCCTCACGAAGCTAAGGCACACCCTGGCAACTGTGACGAAAGTGACGACAACCCTTCATCCTGCATACTGCACCTACCGGGGTTTGGTGTCGACCTGGCTCCTGCGCGGAGTCGCGGAGATTATCTCCCCTCTACAATACTTTTTAAATACATGATCCGTGTAAAGCCGAATACATACGTAAACAAGGTGCGAGCATCTCAGGGATTTGATGAACCAATGACTGGGAAGATGATTTATTACAGTTCGCCGTTGACTACTTTCCTTGTTTTGCGCAATCGCCAATAAACAGAAAATCGAACTAAGGCGGGCGAGGCCGACGCACATTGGATGGCTCGACACGGGGCGATTCCCACATGGTTGTGGCTGAGACGTGTCTTGGTGTATCATGTCCACGCTAGTCTCCATATTTCTATTAGTAGAACATTTCCTTCAGCCTGTAATCCGTAGGCCCCTGGGAGGGAGCATGTCCTGTACAGGTCAGTTTCTGGAGTGTTTTATGGCTGCAGGTTGGTTTCTGACAAATTAGGTGGAAATTTTACCTCCCCGCCTAGGGTGTAACTCTATACCTTGGAAGATCAGACCCTATTTTGTTGTGCAACCTATATACATAACCAGATATATGTAAGAAAAAGAAAATAATATCCAAATCCAGGAACAGCCGCTTACGCTATGACCAAATGGCCCATTTTTCTCTCTCTGTCGCAGATTCCACTCTGATGTCACCTTTCTCCTTGGGAAATTGAGCACTGGCCCACTGTGCCTAACTCATTACACCAAGGTAAATAGTCACAGATAATTCAAAGCTCGTCTCAGCCTGCTGCGCGAGACCAATTGCAGAAAATATGCTATCCCTGATACTCAAATATACTCCGTACAAAGCACGTGGCGTAGAAGCTAATGCAGATGACCCTAAAGCATTGCGTTGCACTATCCATGTTCCACCAGGAGGCGACCCGGTGTAAGGAAATATCTTGTCGATGCATACGGGCGATGCAGACTGAAACGGCATGTCTTTAACCTCCCATCTCTTATTCTAGTCTTGACTGTCTTGCGATGACTCAACATTGCGCATCTGGCTCTGTTTGATTGGAACGTGATCCAGGTTGTCACTGTCAATAGGCAGTTTCCGTCTCATACTCTCCTGATATCAACTAGCTTTGGATCGTGTAGCTCGTCTTAACTGCTTACTGTCCACGGATACAAAGTACTAGTTAATTGCTATTTAGTTACTGCTTACTGCTTACTGATTACTCCACTTGGTCTCACATCCGTTACATATTATGTACTCCGTACGGAGTATCTCGATCGACAGTCAACGCCGATCGATCTTCAGGGGTTCCATAGGATCTTCGCTGGGTCATAGTGTTCCCCTATGCCGTACTCCGTACTAAAGGTTACTAGTTGTACAAGCCGTTATTGTCTTCGATAGAGACTGGCCAAACACAATATTACTAAGTACCTTGAATGTCCGCAAATTTGAAGTGTACATCGCAAGAGGGTTTTGTTTCTTTCTCATTTTGTAGCTCTCGGCTGGCATATATAATATATCCACGGCCTGTTATATGTTTCGTTCAGTTTAACATTGTAGTTGCGTTCAACTAGGCTAACATTTAATCAAGGTGTCAATATATATTTCCAGTAGATCCGTAGAAAAAGGAAGTGGGATGCTCGATTCATATAGAACTACAAATCACATGTTTGACACCTGCCTATACAGTTACAAAAGACCATAGCTGTGCATATGCAAGGGACCAGGCTATTCATTGGTTCCATGGTACGGCATAATGTCTATCGGTGAGCTATGGCCTCCAGGGGCTTCCAAGGTTTCCAAGGTTGGCAGCCTTGCCATGGTAGAAAGGCGGGTAAGACCCGCTTCTTCCGCTTCCACTTCCTGGCTCTTTGCTTTATCTACCATCATCACTATCCTCTACAGATGTTTAAATCCGTACTCTTGGACATCTGTGCTTAGCCCTGTACTAAAAAGGCTCGAATGAGCAGATCGGTGCGAGTGCGAATGATGAAGCTGTTACCCGAACTAAAAACTGTCCATGTCCGTGCTAGAACAGCCAGCCCTGGAGTCGAGAGATGTCAAGATTAAGTACCTAGGTAGCCTACGGAGTACTCGAGATGAGCATCATCCCTCGGCACTATATCTTCAACGGCTACAATTTTTGTAGCATAAGAGGTAATCCAAAACTTCCATATCACATTATTCAACTCATTAGGGTAGCCAAAAAGGTTGTATCTATCATCTATAAACAACGAAACGAAACTCCATGCAAAGCGGCATTCCTTTGCCCATGCCCATGCGCCTGAAATTGGGCTTATTGATCCAGCAGACCGCCGGGGACCGCAGACCATATGAAGGAGCCCGTACACGTTCCGTACATGTACAAGGCAAAAACAAAACTATTTATCTCTTGCGCCATGACAGCTCCAAGATTTGATCACCGTTCTTGTCGTCGCGCATGATATACCACTGAGTGACACGGTCGTTCTCGTGGACGGCATCCTGCAACTGGAAGGACCTTTTCTGCTCATCCTTGCGACGGAGGGGACCCAATTCGTGCAGGTAAGATTCGTCATTGGCGCCATTGTGGGGGTCCCAGGTTTGCTCCATGGCGATGTCGTCCTGATCTGGGTCGGCGTGATACTTGATGACCGAGAACCCGTTCGTCAGGATCCATCCGTCGCCAAAGTGCCATTTTCGGAGGAGGCAGCTGTCGCCACATAGCTGGGCGACCACCGCTAGCTTTGGCATGTCGGCGTGGAACCAGGACTTCCAGTGGTGCACTGTGAGCGGCGGCTCGCGGCCGGACTCGAAGAATCCAGAGGCGTCGTGTATCAGGTCCAACTGTCTCAGACGGTGGTCAACTGTCAGCCGGGTTTGGGTGTAGCGGTAGACGCAGATGGCGATGCGGCGATCACCGGTGAAATCCATCGCAGAGCACTTGTCGTACACGTTGGTCATTTCCGCCAAGAGAGGTTTCGATAAGAAGACGCCCGCGCCTCCGAATCCAATCATTCCAAATGTCGCAATTTGCGGGATAGACTCCGACAATCCGCCAATATACATGGAGGTGGTGTGGTCGTACTTAGCGAGCGCATCCACCAGTCTGGGCATCGACAGGAAGAACGTGTCGTCGTCAATGATACAGCCCCATCGGGTTGTTTCCCGAGCATTCTCCTTCAAAAGAGGGATAAGGGCGAAGTATCGGTTTAGGTAATCATCCTCCACCTCTGTGAGATACAGGTTGATTCCCAGAGAGTCGGCCTTGGCCAAGACATCCTGTCTTCCGGATTCTGAGAGATCCGGTTCTATCAGAGCGAAAATGCGACAGCGCGAGTATCCAGCCCAGTGAGCGAATGCATCCAGAGACTCATTCAATCTCTGGACAGTGGTCGCGACTCCAAAATCGATGTGTGATGCGTCCGCCAATTTCGGCGGCTGTGGAACCCGCAAGGACACTGGGGTGGGAATTGAGCACCCGTCCGCCGCTCCCTCAGTGCCCTTTGGCTCTTCCAAGAATGGCTGTTCAAGCCACTGCGTGTAGGGCACTGGTTCGTCCGTCATATCGAGCACGATTTCTCGGCGGGTATATTGGGCGACTTTGAGAACGTCCAGGCTTGCCAATCTATCGTAGTCGAGATCGCACGAGACATCGGAGGCGAGGGTGATGTTTGCAACTGTTTGCAGCGGCAGCTTCACTGGCTCGACCGAGGGCCATAGTACAGCGGCAAATCCTACCACGAACAGGAAGACAACTCCAAACCGCAGCACCTTTTTCCAGGCCCATGACGCCCCTGGAACAGACCCATCTCGGGCGCTGAATAGCATATTTCGTGTTGTGAGATTTTGTCGGCTCCTACCGCATTGCGGAGACAAGAATTTGGTCTAGAACGCAATCAAGGGCCCACGGTCGCAGGCGGTTGAAATGTGGTATAAAGCCCAGGTGGTTTGGAAGGGGGATGGAGAAGAGGAAGAGGAAGAGGAAGAGGAAGAAGAAGAAAGTGAAAAGAACGGGAAGTCAAAGGAAAAGGACGATCATGGTTCCATGGTATGAAAATGGACAGGGCCAATTCTCTAAGGGGTCTGAAAGACGATCGATGACGTTGAAGGGGTCCATTCGGGGAAGTCACGTGTGCTCGAATACACCTGTAGGACCCGGTCTAGTCCCACTGTGACTTCAAGTTGTTGGAAATTATATCCAGGTACGAAGCCATAAAGGGAAAGCATAGTTAGCAATCCATTCATTCCAATACTATCTAGCATGGTGATTCCTACTCCCAATTCAGTGTTCAAAGCACAGCTGGTGTACAACCGTGCCAGTGCCAAGACTTCCTAAGCAATGATCCTGGCTTCTCACTCGTCTCTGATCCCTCTCGCCCCCACGTCCGCGCGTCCTCTATCCGTGTGCTAACTCCGTCCAAATGGCTTGACAGCCAAGACATTATTCCGCCCTAGATAAGCACTGCAATGGACTACGGAGTGATGTCCGGACAGCTATTATCGTACCTAATAGCAATTGGCATTTGTGATATGGCAGCCATTTGCAGCCTACCCCCGGCACAGCTTGGTTCACCCACGCGCCGTGCCCACTACGCTATCACTCAGCCCCACTGTCTTGATTGAAGATCCTTGAGTGATATTCAAGCCTCTTTCTCTTTTCTCACGAGAATTTTTGGGGCATTGCCGATATGTACTCCATACTGTATAAGGTATCAACTGAAACCGACCCAGCCCCCAATGCCAATGCCAATCCCAATGGGGCTTTACTGGACTTCCACTCGCATAAGAAAGCCTGGTCTGCCTCGTGCATTGTTTGTGCGAATATTGCTTGTTCCTGTCCGATTTCATTATCCTTCGCATTATGGTCCTCAAGATGCGTAAATGGTGGCCAGGGTAGGGGCTTATAACCCGGTCAGACAAGCTCCTTTCAACTTGCTATCCCTAGGTCTTTTCTTGTCGTGAAGTAAGACTTGTTTCATAAGTAGTGTGAATTCCAGATAAACGTACGATAAAAGGATATTATCGAAAATAACAAATGCATGCATCGAGAAGGAATGTTAAACAGGGATTACCACGGTTTCTCCCTCCCTCTCCTCTTGTGCTTTTTTTTTCCGCTAGGAAAAAGATAGCTGTCAGTTCAAATGACCCCATTTTCTCACGTTTAGGGGAACTTGTGAACTTACCAAGTCGCCGGTTTCAACCCAATTTCGACCCGTGCCGTCTTGGTGCTAAATGTACAAGATGTTAGAACGGACATGAGACTGGATCAGCGATTTTAGACTCACATAGCTACCATCAGTATATTGATTAGGGTTGATCAGGTAGCCGAGCCATCTCCGATAGAATATCCTCTGCAGCTTGCGTTGTAAACATGTACGTTAACCGATAGAGTATGTGATCCCATTGGTGATCCCAGTTCCAGAAGCTATCAGGTCCACGATTGATACAAATCGTATCAGGTTTCACCTGGATTCATAATTCGTCCAAGCTCCTTCGATGTCCACTTACCGTCAACATAACGAGGATGGGGCACATGGACGGCATTGAGCCCATGCCAGAGAGCAAGTGAAGGGGCTGTCCTCTCAGAAACAAGCCTATTCTTCGTTGGATCTGCACAACGTGCATTTCTTGTAATACTTTCCTTGATACGCGCCCCATGGCCACAGGGGGATCTCTGGAATTCCCATAGGACATTTCTAAATAGCCACTGCATATTAGTAGGATTAAAGATCGGTAAGAATGTGACGAGATCGGCCTATTTGTCAACACCCCATTCATATTTCTCGTCTTCTGGGAAAGCAACAGGAGGCCTAGGGCATATTGGGGTTATTCGAGTGGTACTCATAGGCCCCAAACACTCCTTCCGCCCTACATAGAGGAACCAATTATCTTGATGAAGATTTGCCAAATTCTATGTGTCCCTGGAATATACCGGTTGCCAATCCTGATGAACCTTGAGATTGTTAGCCTGCCGATGTTCAATGACCGTTGGAAAGGCATACCCGGTTAAGCACTTCGGAGCCCCACTGGTGTCGATCCAGAAAATGAGGAGGATTTATGGACTCCAATTTAATATGCACTGAGTTCGGAGTTGAGGATGGTTTCAGCGTCAGAGTTCCATCGCAAATTGGGGTGGCATATAACGCTACATCTTTTCTCTTGACCACCTAGGTAGTACTGCGGCTGTTGATGTCCGAAGCAGAAGGAACTCCATAGAGTGGAGGGGAAGCAAGGCGTTTATGCCAGGTTGCGTTGGTGGCTCGGCAAGAGTATCTACATATTTCTTTGAAAGGGTTGGCAGAACTACTCACAATCGCACCTGCAGCATATGGAGTAGACCGAGTGGGAACCATCGTCCGACATTGGATGGACATAATGGAAAAGGACATTCTGATCCTTCCAATCTTAAGTGAGTTGAATGTGTCTGGCTATTCATAATTTACCATGGTAGGCACCTAGCAGCGCATTGAGAGAAAGGGCGTTGGGAAACTCGGAATAACGTCGGTCTTCTCACTTCAGAGCATTTATGGGTGGTCCAACAGCGGAGTACCCCCGGTCCCAGTGGTCATGAATTGGAAGTACCTGGAAATTCGCTCAAATGTTGTACAGATCTAATTTACGATGCAAATGTTGGCTTGAACGCAGTTTCATCTAGCATACACCCTACGAAGTCCTGCGCTTTGAGATCTGTCACCGTTACAGTAGCTTGCAAAATCGCCTTGCGCTTTTACACATTCTTTTTGTTTCCCAAACCCAGTCGCCAAGACCAATTTTACCCAAAGCAGTTAGACCCGAAAAGACCCCTGGCTAGAACCTTTCGAACAGGAACAAGACGATGACAACACGGCTACGACCTGGACACCCCGCGATTCGTGCTGTTCTTTCCTCAGCGTCTTTCCGCTCCTCAACACCCACTGTTTAAGTACCAAAGATGGCTCCGAACTTATCCCCATCGAAGCGACAGCTGATATGTGATATGATTGAGAGCAATCTAAAAACCACTGATATCGCTAATGCAGCGGAATGCAGTAAACAGTCTGTTAGATATATTCGTTCTAATCTGCGGATGTTCGGCAGTCCCAAGGCACCTCCAATCCCGTCCGGCCGACCGAAGAGTAACACCACTTATGCTTGAGGCTCTCTGCAATCACCTTTCCGAACAACCCGGGTTATACCTTGATGAGATGGCGTGTTTCCTTCGGGAGGAATATGACGTCTACGTGGCCAACTCTACCATCAGTCGGGCTCTGGCAACAAAAGGCTGGCCTAAGAAGACAACACGGAATCAAGCGAAGGAGCGAAATGCAGATTTACGAGACTACTATCTCCATAATCTATCGGAGTTTAGGTCATATCACCTGGTTTATGTGGACGAATCTGGATGTGACAAGCGGATAGGGTATCGGCGAACAGGTTGGGCCCCGCTTGGGGTCACCCCGGTCTAAGTGGCCAAATTCCATTTGTGGCCAGCGATACCAGATCTTGCCGGCATATTGCTAGGATGGTGTACTATTTTCTCGCGTCTTCCGGGGATCGACTGATGCTTCTATATTTGAGGACTTCATTGGGGAGCTTCTTCATCACTGTGGCAGATGGCCGGAGCCTAAATCGGTATTGGTGATAGATAATGCATCCTTCCACCACTCTGAGCGGATAGAATATATGTGTCTAAAAGCGGGAGTCAAGCTAGTGTATCTTCCACCTTATTCTCCTGATCTGAATCCTATCGAGGAATTTTTTGCGGAGCTAAAAGCTTTCATTAAACGCAACTGGCCGTTGTTTAAAGATGACCTAGATGGAGATTTTGAAAAATTTCTGGAGTGGTGTATAGATGTGGTGGGCGCAAGAGAAGAGAGTGCTAAAGGCCATTTTCGCTATTCGGGTCTGACAATTAAGCATTATTGATTGACCTGTATAAATATGTAGAGCTTAATATATCCAAGTATTTCTCCGGCTTCTACTATAATTCACTCCCTAATAGATATTTTAGATGTTCGATTTTCGTCAATTTTTTTTTTTCCAATTTGATAGCAAGCCTTTAAAGTCGGATGGAATTTACGCCTACTAGCATAATATTGAGGCTGTTTAGATTCACGTGGGATGCTCCCTAGTAGTGTCTGCCTTATAGCGTTGTCGGAGACGGCAAGCTTGATAATCCGGGTTCTTATACCCCGCCTTGTAGGCTGCTGGTTGGTTCTGCTACTGCGCTATCACAACTTAGTCGCTAATAGCACGCGGTACCTCCTATAGTTCGACATCCTTATATACATAATGATTCGCTAGTTACATCGTTCACTGATGCGGGCGGGTGCTTAGGCCGCGCACCTTATCACCCCTGATGCCTTAGGCCGATGGTAAGGCGTCTCTGCGGTCGCATTCATTCCTCGCTACCTAGTCCCCGTCCCTGATTCTGTTGAATGGCCGAGTTTACAGCCTACGGACACTTTTGAAGCTAAGCGGTATAATTTTATTCCTGCCCATTTACTCTTGCATTCGTGGCGGCGGTAGCGGTAGCTTATACTAGACATTTGTTTTTCTATATGCCCATTAAAGAATTGAAACTAATCCACGTGGCGAGTATGACGTCCGTAATATCGTTTGAGTGTTCAAATTCGGGGTTCCAGATAGGTGTGAACCACGGCTCGGTCACTAACCACTTCCACACGCCTATTAAAGAAACGAAAGAGACAAATCCTAGGCTTTGTAAGTTAATAGAAAAGCCCAACTAAGATATCAAGCTCACCCATTTTGGCTAAGGTGATCAACCTTAAGCCCACTATATTATCCCCTCTTTGGAAAATCGTCACTTTACTGGCCGTGAATTCACG